CCCAGCCTGGAGTGCAATGGCACAATCTCGGCTCACTGTAACCTTCACCTCCTGGGTTCAAGTGATTCTCCTGCCCCAGCCTCCTGAGTAGCTGGGATTACAGGCACCCATCACCACGTCCAGCCAATTTTTTTTTGGTATTTTTAGTAGAGACAGGATTTCACCATGTTGGCCAGGCTGGTCTCGAACTCCTGACCTCAGGCGATCCACCTGCCTCAGCCTCCCAAAGTTCTGGGATTACAGGCATGAACAACTGCACCTGGCCTTGTTCTGTCTTCTTGTGAGAGGCTTTTCTCATATTTCTGGTAAATCTTGGCTGTCTGCTAATGATTAATAGTAGGAGACTATATTACTACAAATTTAGTGGCTTAAAACAACACCCCCCCCCTTTTTTTTTTGAGAAGGAATTTTGCTCTTGTTGCCCCAGGCTGGAGTACAATGGTGTGATCTTGGCTCACCGCAACCTCTGCCTCCCAGGTTCAAGCAATTCTCCTGCCTCAGCCTCCCGAGTAGCTGAGATTACAGGCATGCACCACCATGCCTGGCTAATTTTGTATTTTTAGTAGAGACAGGGTTTCTCCATGTTGATCAGGCTGATCTTGACCTCCTGACCTCAGGTGATCCACTGGCCTCAGCCTCCCAAAGTGTTGGGATTATAGGCGTGAGCCACCGCACCTGGCCAACAACACCCATTTATTATCTCTCAATTCTGTAGGTCAGAAATCCTGGTGGACTTGGCTGGATTTTCTGATTAGGATCTCATAATGCCAAAGTCAAAGTGTTGGCTGACCTGGGCTCTTCTCTGGAGATTCTGGGGAAGAATCTGCTTTCAAGCTCATCCAGGTTGTTGGCAGAGTTCAGTTCAATGCAGTTGTAAGACTGAAGTCCCTGTTTCCTTGCTGGCTATTAGCTGGGTCCACTTTCAGTTCCTAGAAGTCACTCTTCAGTCCATTCCCATGCCTCTACTCCATCTTCAAAGTCAGCAATGGCATATTGAATCCTTCTAGTGCCAGCAGCTGGTAAAAGATTCACACAGATAACCTGCCGAGATTAAGGCCAATTGTGCTATATATTAGAGCAAACACTGTGATGGGAGTGATATCTCATATTTACAGGTTTGGGGATCAAGAGGGAGCATCTTAAAGTAGATTGCAGAACTGAGAATGATATATCATGGTACTTCCTCAAATGATCTCTACTGCTGAGCCCTGTTCCTCTGAGATGACAGGGCAGAACCTTTTCTTCTCTCTCTCTTCTAATGCCTAGTAAGATGTAGTACTTCACTGTTAGCATACTTGCCTCTGCCTGGAATGTTGGTCCTCACTCCAAACTTCTGCACATCCCTCAATAGTCTGCATGTTCCTTTTTGGCTTTAATGGAGGTCAGAATTTATCTTCCAGGCTAGATGTGATGGCTCATACCTGTCCTCCTCGCACTTTGGGGAGGCCAAGGCGAGAGGATTACTTGAGCCCAGGACTTTGAGACTAAAGCCCAAGCAATATAGGGAGACCCCGTCTCTACAAAAAATTAAAAATTAGCCGGGTGTGGTGGTGCACGCCTATGATCCCAGCTACTTGGGAGGCTGGGGTGGGGGGATCACTTGAGCCTGTGAGGTCAAGGCTGCAGTGACCTATCATCATACCACTGTATTCTAGCTTGGGCAACAGAGTGAGACCATGTCTCAAAAAAAAAAAGAAAAAGAAAAAAAGAATTCTTCTGTGACAACACTTAACAGCTAGTGCTCGACTTAACGACCACGATTGGTTCCGACAGACTGGTCGTAACATGATTTGGTCATAAGTTGAGTAGGCTATATGTACAGTACTGTGAAATGATGTTATAAAAATCTTTAAGTCATATTTTATCATAATTTTCTTTCATTATTGTTATATATCATAATTTTCTTTGTTCATTTTATGCCATTTGTATCACCTCTACACCGTTTTGTTTCTTATTTTTACATTCGTCAGGTTTAAGTAAAACACTGCATTACCAGTACAACTGGTTTAATATTTGCAAAACATACAAAATTACAAAATACAGGTGCATACAAAAATACAAAATACAGGTGTAAAAGATACCATAGGAAACATTTTCCCAATTGCAAAACATATCAAAATATTTAAACATGTACGAAACATTTTATTGGCCGCTGGTGCTTGGCTGCGGATCGTTGATGTCGTCATCTGAGGCAGCAGTTGGGGTTACCGGAGTTGGTTTTTTCATAAACATGGTGAGCTTTGTCTGAATTGTATGTTTCTTTTTTTCTTCATAAATTTCACGATAGGGACGAAACACATCGTGTGCCATCTGTTCAATCCTTGCAAATCATTCGATGTTTGGGTTCATTGCTTCGAAATGTATAAGAAGTTTATTGGGAGGGGTTTGATGAAAAATATCCAAGACACAAAACACAAATTGCTGTACCGAGTCTGGGATAACAGTTGAAATGGTGCACGCGGAGATGGTAGTGCTGCCGGAAGCTGGTCCACACTGTCGTACGCCCAGCTGGGCAACGTTTGCGCTGCCAGACGCGGAGCAGTTGTGGCTAGCGATTGTGGTCGTAAAGTCGAATGGTCGTTAAGTTGCATAGGTCATAAGTCGATCAATACCTGTACTCTATTTCCTCCAGAGATGCAATGTGCTCCTACTTAAGACCTTTACAGCAGCTCATTTTTAGCTCATTTCAAGTTATGTCCATTTCACACCACCAGATAGTGTGCTCATACAGGACAAAGCGCGGACTTAGTCACCTATATCTGGTACCTAGTACCACGCACATTGTAGACACTTAATGTTGCTGAATAAGGAAACCTTTTTAATCCTTCAAAAAACTTAATGGCAGTTCTAAATTACCCGTGATAAGGTTGCATATACGGAAACATCAAATTGTTTTGTTTGTTTTTGTTTAAAGCCTGAATTATTTTAACAATGCTTGGTAATAGTATTGATTTTTCTTGTGCCAGTTAGAGGCTCTGAGATTTATGTATGTCTTCGTTTAAGAGAGAATATAGAAATAGATTAACCATTAATTTGGAATTTTGGGGCATAAAATAACTGCTAGTAAAAAAAAAAGTTAAAATTGGCTGGGTGTGGTGTCTCACGCTTGTAATCCCAGCACTTTGGGAGGCCAAGGCAGGTGGATCACGAGGTCAGGAGTTGGAGACCAGCCTGGCCAACACAGTGAAACCCCATCTGTACTAAAAATACAAAAAAAAATAGCTGGGTGTGGTGGCTGACGCCTGTAATCCCAGCTCGGGAGGCTGAGGCTGAGGCTGAGGCTGAGGCAGGATAATTGCTTGAACCTGGGAGGCAGAGGTTGCGGTGAGCTGAGATTGCGACATTGCACTCCAGCCTGGGTAACAGAGCAAGACTCCATCTCAAAAATAAAAAAAAAAAGAGTTAAAGTCTTAAATATTAAAGAAGTCGTTTGCTAATTATGTTTTGTTTGTAGGTCAAGTCTGGGTTCTTTCATGAAAGTGATTCCAAAGCTGTTGCTAAATCCATTAGAGACCGAGTGACCCCGATAAAGAAGACAAGGGAGAAGAAGCCTGCTGGCTGCTTGGAAGAACGCAGGGATTCTCAGTGCAAGTCTATGGGGAATGTATTCCCTCAGCCCCAGAATACAACTTTGCCCCCTGCTCCCACTCAGCAAACTGGGGCTGAATGTGAAGAAACTGAAGTTGATCAACATGTTAGACAACAGATTCTGCAAAGAAAGCCACAGCAGCACTGCTCCTCTGTTACAGGTAACACAGTTACAGCTTGTAAAAGCAAACAAACATGCAACTATATTCCCCAATCTTTATTTACTTTGAAGGACAGTGGTCAATGGCCTACTTTGTTTCTTTTCCTTTTTGTGTATTTGCTTATCTTTAAGTAGCACTACTGTGTTTTTCACAGCATTCTGTTATCTATCATTTCATCAAGCCTTTTATAAAACCCCTGAAACAGACTGTTTTGTTAAGTGACTTGTCTAAGGTGCTAGTTGCAGAAGGATTATAATCTAGCATCTGGTTTTGTTCAGAGTATAAATAAAATGACCTTATTATCATTTTTGAGGGTCCAACATAAATCTTTTTTTTTTTTTTTGAGACAGGGCCTTGCTCAGTCACCCAGGCTGGAGTGCACTGGCGCAATCATGACTCACTGCAGCCTCGACCTCACCAGGCTCAGGTGATCCTCCCACCTTAGCCCCCTGAGTAGCTGGGACTATAAGTGCATGCCACTACACCTGGCTAATTTTTGTGTTTTCTTTTGGTAGAGATGGGGTTTCACCATATTGGCTAGGCTGGTCTGACCCTCCTGGGCTCAAGCCATCTGCCTGCCTCAGCCTCCCAAAGTGTTAGGATTACAGGCATGACCCACTGCGCCCAGCCGCGTAAATCTTTTAATAAAGAAAATATAGAACTAGGCCAGGCTCGATAGCTTGGCTCATGCCTGTAATCCCAGCACTTTGGGAGGCCAAGGCAGGCAGATCACGAAGTCAAGAGATGGAGACTATCCTGACCAACGCGGTGAAACCCCGTCTCTATTAAAATACAAAAAATTAGCCGGGTCGTGGCGCATGCCTGTAGTCCCAGCTACTTAGGAGTCTGAGGCAGGAGAATCGCTTGAACCTGGGAGGCAGAGGTTGCAGTGAGCCGTGATTGTGCCGTTGTACTCCAGCCTGGCGACAGGCTGAGACTCTGTCTCAAAAAAAACAAAAAACGAAAAACAAAATTTAGAACTAAAGGTAAAATTTATTCCTCAAGAAGGAATTTTCTAGTCTTTAAGACCCTTTGTATTTTAGGCTCAAGTATAAAATTAGCACAATTCTGCTAATTTCCTGCTGTAATGCATTTTATTTTCCAGAAGGACACAGTATTTGCATAATAATAACCTATTGTTCTACAAAGACAGTATTCTAGATTATAGCAGAAAGAGAATATGACATATTTTACTGAAATCCTAATGTCAAGTGTAGATTAGTTAGGGATGTACGTGACATGGCCACCAAATGGAGTTGATTTTTATCTGATGCTCTGTTTTTAGGTTTGCTTTACTAAGAAAATTTTAGTTATACCACAATGTCAACATTTCATTGTTTGATACAGTTTACATACTGGTTTTTTATTAATGCTATAGTGTAAATATTTTATTTGAAGCTATGTCAGGTTCTCAGAGTAAAAAAGCCATTAAAGAGACACCATTACCTATACCATTTGGACAATTTGTGCTTCAAGTTTTCCCATCTACCTGTTACTTATTTTCTTTGTTATAGGTGACAATTTGTCTGAGACAGGAGCTGCATCAGTTATACATTCAGATACTTCAAGTCAGCCCAGTGTAGCCTATTCCTCAAATCAAATGATGGGCTCTCAAATGGTTTCTAACATCCCGCAGGCTGAAATAAATGTTCCAGGGCAAATTTATTCATCTCAGCAACTAGTAGGACATTACCAGCAAGTTTCAGGGGTGAGGTGAACTGTTATATTTTTAAATATATAATCAGCATATTTACTATCAATGGGAAAGTTTATCTTTAATCTTTTTCCCCCTTATTTCAACAGTTACAGAAGCAGCCAAAACTGACTCAACCCCAGGTTTCCCCATTAACTGTTCAGAAGATTCCACAGATAAAGGTAAGACACATTTTAGAGGCTCTGTGTTCATTTAAACAAATTTAACACTGCCTAGATTTTCTAACAGGCAAAGATTCTCTTTTATAAATCTGTTATAGTTTAGAGAAAGGTCACCGAAAGCTAAAAGTTTTTTTTTATTTCCTTTACCCAAGACATTCCTCTTAGTGTGCCTAACATTGTGTAACCAGAATCTGGAGACACTACTTATATAACTGGAGAAGAAATAGAGAGCTCAGTATATGTGGACAAAGTATTTATTTAGGATTGATCTCTTCCTCTTATTAATGATTATTTGTTCTTTGTATTAAACTTTTCCAGCCTGATTTGAACATGAAAGGATGTCTATTGCAGTTAATTAGAAATAGTATTTCATCGATTTTCATAACTTTAGCATGTTCATCTAAACTCTTGACTTGTTTTGGTTCATGTTGATTTCTGTAGGAGAAATAAGAAGTGTTTGTTTTTCAGAATTTTTTTTTTTTT